TGTCATGGCAATGAGTTTGGATGATGCAAAGGTCATTGTGCAGGGTTATAGGGCAAAACCAGTGGTCCATGTTCTCCTCCAAATGTGGTGCTCCACCACACCCACACAATTTTGAGCAATTAGAAAAAACAGGGGAACTAGCAGAAAGTGCAAAAATATGAAGGAAGCAGTTTTCAGCCCCTTCAGCATGGAGTAGAACATTCACTTTTGTGTTTTTTTATTTCCTGTTGAACATGATTAGCCTGCACATTATAAAAAAAAAAAAGGTTTTCTATAGAAACCCAATAAAAAAAAAAGTCCAGGAAGCATGCAGCTGGTTAATGTTAACAAAAGACCTTGACAGGAACATGTAAACTATATTGGATGTCATGCTTGGGGCCTAACTGCCAGCAACATTATAGAGTTGTTTCATTAAAACTGAATACTGTACACTGAGTCTGGGATAACTTTCTGCAGCCTTCATGATTCCACACAGTACATAGGGTTTTCCAAAGTAGGTAACGAACACATCCTGATGTCACACTGCTGAATATGTCCCTGTGCAATCTCTTTCATTAAGTCCTGATGAAGCTACAAGTCACAAATCCAAGATTCTGCTCCCTGAGGACACAGCTATGTGAGACCTAAGTCCTGTTTTACTTCTCTGCCTATCCTGAATGCTCTGTGAACCTAATCTTAAATACCATCACGTAACAATCACAAAAACTTTTGCTAAAGGCCATATATACTAATAAAAAGACAGTGGTGCTTCCAACAGTCTGAAATGCTCAGAAAACCAACTTTTCCAATACTAAATACAACAAAATAACCTTCATAAAATATAACTTTTCTCCATTTACAATTTTCTTAAAGGATTAGTAACCTATGCTTTTTAAGCACAGGAATCTGCGAAATAATTCCTAACATGGACAGATTTTTTTTTTAATACATAACTTAAGAAACTGGAGAGTTTTAACCCAAGTCCAGTTTCTAAACAAGGAATATTCTTGTTTACTTTAAAAATGGAAACAACATACAGTTCCATTATAATTGTTAAAAAGTTAGCTTTACAAACAAGGGAACTTTAATTAAAAAAAAATCTTAACAAAACTATACAGTGTACAAATTACTGTCTACAAGGTAGGCGGTTCGTTAAGAAGACCTTTCGCTCTTCTCCATACTTGCAGCTTCACAGATTCATTCACATATATATTTTTTAATGGAGCTGCCCACCCAAACATTACCCCACAACTATATTGCTATAATTAATATTTTTGCCATGTCTTTATGTACAGTCTCCTTCACTGCCTTTTAATTTTTTTTTCTTTAGTCAAGCCTCAAACGTTCATGTCACTCCAGGGGAAACACATTTCAGTGGCACTGCCAAGGGGCCAGGGCTGCAAAGCAACAGAATAAAGTCGAAACAGTGCACATAGAACGGGGTGGCTTGAGACAGTACCTCGCTTCTGGAACCCTAGGGCGACCCACACCATCCTGAAGCTCTGTAGTTCTGGCGAGGGGTGGGCCGTGAGAGAGCTGCAGAAGTGGGGCCCTTTGTCAGAATAGAGTTCCTGGTGAAGGAGGAGGCCAAAGACTGGATCTGAGTCTTTTCTTTCTCTCTCTATATTTATATATATATATATATATATATATGTATGTATGTATGTATGTATATTTTAAATATCTTGATCTTAAAAAAAAGTTGATTAAAAAAACTCAAAATAGGCCTTTATATTAAAGAGGCAGGCAGTAAAACCCACAGTGTAACTAACTTATTATTCAGCTAGGAATGCTCATTCATTCATTCACATCAAGAGAGTGAGTCTGCCCTCAAAAAAATACTGTGTGTCTTGTGAGGTTGATTTGTTCACACAATAGGTCAAAGATATGTGAAAAGCTCAGTTAAGATTATCTGTAGTCTACCAGGGTGAGGATCACAGAAATTATTGCACTTACTTCTGAACTTCAACTGGTCTTATCCTGCTGTGCTATTCAGCATTTGGGGACATCATACTGAATGGGCTAATCAAATACAATTGTCCAGCATGTAATCATTGTTCATAAGTATTCATTATTAAATAATGTGCTGGGAGAACAATAAACAATTTATTTTATTAGACCATAGCCTAGGGGGTCCTCAAGACAATCCACCATGTTTCACTAATTCTAACAGTTATTCTTTCCATTAATAAATTTACTCTATGGACTCTGGGAGAAAAGAAAATATAAACAATATAAAGTTTTGGTGCCCTTCCTTCCCCCCAAATATCAAGGATAAAATAGAAATATGAGGTACTATTCCTTTAAAAAATCCCATTGTCTTCTAGAGGGCTGAATTTGTCCACAGGAAAATTATTTCTACACCCTCCCTCCCCTTCTGTACTTGTTCGTAGTCAGAAAGGATGTGTACAAATAGAATCCATAGATGATTAATTTTTTTCTTCCTCCCTTGAGATGAACATTCACTGATATCTATCAGTCCAAATACATTCAAGGATAGCAACTCTTTGACCTTTTTGATGTAAAAACAAAAACAAAAACAAAAACAAACAACAGTCACTGCCATCAGTTTGTAATATTAAGACATGGGTAAATCACATACTCCATCATCATACAATGATGAGTTGGACAGGCTAGAATGCTAGGGGAGAAGAATGGGGGATGAAGAAAGGGTACTAGTTTCTCCAATGGAGACTGTGTGTTGTGTAAAAGAAAGTGTGTCCCTAGGTAGAACCATTAGTGAGAAACACCTTCTAAAGTGGATTTCTAAAAAGATATATCTTTGCCAAGTATGAGATGGCCTCACTCTCACTGTGGGTCTTGACCTCTTAAGAAAAAACAAACAAAGTAAGATAATTTCCTCAAGCCGAGTCTGCCTCCAACAGAATTCATTACCTTTTATTTGTATGTGTGTGTGTGTGTGTGTGTGTGCGTGCGTGCATGCATGTGTGTGTTTAAATCCAGAAATGAGTTCAGCTTGCACCCCAGGTGGGAAGTTAACAAGAGGGAACCTATTTTTAAAGTTTGTCACAGTAGGCAGAACAGTCGCTTTGCAGCCCATGCCTGTCTAAGGGTACACTGCTTCACAGCTACACTGTAAAGTGTTAAAAATCCTCCCACCCACCCCAGAATATATATATATATATATATATATAGATATAGATATATATATATGTATGTATAAAAAAAAAATCCCCTGTCCATCTCTCAGTACACAAAAGGACCTCATCACACTGCAAAAATAGCAGTACCCACTTTGGTCAATTAAAACAAACAAACAAAAAAAGCATACATCATTCTTTTTTTTCTTTTTTTTCTTTTTTAAATCTGTGTACTTACCTATAATAACCAATACAGCTAAAAGCACTACCTACATAGGCAAAACTTGGTATTGCATAATTCGTAAAAATTTGAAACCCCCCCTCCCAAATATTAATTGGAAGATGAAAAACATGAAAGGTTAATAGAAAAAACACCAAAATACTGAAAATATTGCTGGTCGATTACAATTTTTAAGCGGCAACTATACACAGCCATGATATGCTTTATAAATGTGAGATAAAGGTATAACTGTCTAAAAAATCCATGATGTCACACTTTTTTTTCATCTGGAGTACAAAATATTTTGTCATAAAAATGGTAAAGATTTAAAATTATAATAAATGCAGCAAAACAAGTGTAGTGATGTCACTTTTTTAGATTTCAAGGCAAGGCACGTAATGTGGACATTATATCTTCGTGCAAATTAGGATTACTGGAAAGAGTATTTTTGTTTAATTAAAATTTTAAGAGACATAGAGGCAAAATGTGTCTGCCCATGCACACTACAGTCCTGTCAATATGAGAAATTTGTTGAACAAGGCTAATTTCTGAAAGCACCATGCAAGTTTCCAGCACCCTGATGACTTCTGTTTTCTCAAGAGTGCATTTTTATATCCCACCTCTCTTTCGCTCGTTCCCAGTTTGTAAACTGTAAGCTTTGCCCTTGTGACATGGATTTGCCTGCCTCTTTGTCTCTATGATGCAGATTGTAGAGAACCTTTTGTACACCCTATGGGTTCTTGATGCAACCAGTAATTTTAAATAAATAAATTCTACCTCCATGGAGGCAGCAGCTAAACCAACATAAGTGCTGTGTTTCTATTAATTTCTCTTTTTTTCCCTCAAGCACATGATTTGTCTTGATTTAATGCCTTTGAATGCCCTCAAAAACTGAGGGGAAAATAAATTCGTTCAAAATTATTTTAAATTCTTTTTAATCCCCTCAATTTAGAGTCCAAGGGCTGAAGGACTTATAATGATGATTCCCCTTTAGATATAAATTTTTAAATTGCACTTGCCTCTGTTAAGTGTTTCTTTTGTGGGGAAAATATTATATTAATTTTTACTGTTGCATGCAGAGATAACACTTTACCTACATAGAGGCATTTCTTCCATAGAGCCTTTGTGTTCAGACTGATTTTTTTTCCTTTTTTTTTTTTTTAAGATTCAAACTGGGTTACACACTGGAAAAGGCTGGGTTAAGGGCCAAAGTTGAATAAATCTGTACTGATAACTAAAGGCTACAGAGCTTGTATTTATTTTTTAACTTTTAGAAATCAGAGTGTTTACAAAATGGCTGGCTCAAGGCCCTTGTCATCTGGCAGCTGTAGGGCTGCCTCCTAGCCTTTGTTTTGTGAGATAACCAGGAATAGTGATTCCATGCGTAAACAACAAGAATACTAAACCAAGAAAACTAGCTTATCATGCAAATATTAAGGCATCTAGAAAGTCAGTTAAAATATATTGTCATCAAGACAGAACATCTATTTCCCAGCGGACTTCATATAACAAAGGCTACTTAGCAGGGGCTGCGCTCTACCCATCAGTGAAATATCATCGACCCTTTTTATGTCATTACAGTTTCAACCTTAAGGGAATTAGTGATTGTAAGTGCTGCAAATTGCTGGTCTATATTTTTTTCTTCTTTCTTCAGTTTCTTTTTTTTTGTCCCGTCTTCCTTTTTTCATTTTCTTGTCTTTTTTTTCCTGTTTTAAAATTTTTGTTGTGTGGTTTTGTTGTTGTTGTTGTTCTTTTGGTTTTCCCTCAGTTGCTTGTTTCTGCTTGAAGGAAAGGTTCTCCAATTATGTTCAAACCATAATTTTGGACATTTGTTGGCAGGATTGGTGTCCTGTTTGATACTTGAAAAGGGACCAAGCTAGCCCAGGTACCAGGACTGTTGAAAAGGGAGAGAAGGAAAGAAAAAAAAAAGAAAGAAACATGATTTTAAAATTTGTAACAACATTTGACATGTAAATTCTATGAGCTAATTACATCAGTATACATTTAACCATCAAGAGTTAAGAGAAATAAGGTTGGTGACCTTGTGAATGCCACTTGAGCTCTTGCCATTATAATTTCACATTTACAGACTAAGACAATATGTTAAATGGGTTATAAAGATTATAATATTAGCATTTTAGGCATATACTGTGTGGTCTGCTTCTTTCATGGAAAGCAAGACAAAATAGAGGGCAAAACCCCAACTATGACAGATAAAGAGATCACTGAAATCTAATCGAATTGAGGATATTCTTTCTTAAATTGTTTGATCCATACTTAGGCATGTGAAATATTACATAAAGCAATAAGAAAAAAAGTAGTATACAGCTTCTGTAAATGTGTCAAAACATCAGTTCTATTGTTCAGTATTTTTTAACCTTATATAACCAAATGTTGACATGGCCATAAAGTTTTATGTCTACAGAGTTAAATGGCATGAAGAAGACTACCTAAATGAGGTGAAAGATTTCCCTTCCTTCATTAAATAAAAAAAATAAAATTAAATAAAATAAAGTTTTCCATAGAAAAAATTCCAAACATCATTACTGTGACTAAGGAAAGGAATGATGACCACTCTTAGATTTTAACTCTGACTTTTTCTTTTTTCAGTACAGTCACTTCACCAAATGGAACCAAAAGTTTTATCTTTACAGAATAGACACATTTGTGAGAGAGGACCATTATATGGCATCTCTCCACTATTATTACTGTTAGCATTTTAATGATTTTCTTTCTGCCTTTTCTGTCCTCCTCCATGGCTTCATCACAAATATAACAAGAGCATAATTAGTTAAGGTACTGGACCTTGCTTTCTTATGTTAGCTAGGAAGATAAGTCTCAACATCTGCCCATCCATATCCACTGACCAGGCAGATCTTAGTCTGTGATAATTCTCTGTGCTCTACCAGGATGCTCTTTGAATCAATGTATTGAAGAGAAATTAAGGTAATGTCCAAGTGACTAAAAAAAAGGGAAGATATTGATATGGTTGTTAGGTTGTTAGGAAATTTTGGTTATTTTAAGAAGTGACTCTGAAGATCCCATTTTTATTCAGTATAAATGTTACATAATTGGTAACCAACAAAGCACAAAATAATTTGGTAATTTAGTCATGGCATACCCAATGTTTTCTCTTTAAAGGCAAACTGGATTATTCTTCATTCTATCATTAACTTTACAGTGTTACTTGCCATCAACTTTTTAAAATTATAGGTGTAGGGGGCAAGATGGATACAAACATTGTAGGTGTGCTATAGTGGAAAGGGTACTGGATTGGACGGTCAGGATCCCAGTTTAGCTGCTTTACTGCCTGTATGATATGGGGAAAGTCCCTTCCCATCTTTGGAATTTAGTTTTCTGAACTATAAAGTAATGAGATTGGACCAGATAGTGTTTAAATTCCCATTCTAAATCCTCTAAATCCTACCTGTCCTTTCTATGTCAAACCTTTACAAATAGCACTTTACAAGTAGCACATTTTCTTTTATTCATTCTTAAAGTCCCATGTACAAATGTATGTTCTAATATTTAGAAGAAAATATTAGAGGATATATATATATATATGCATTAATGCATATACATACATACACAGTAATGTGTATGTATATGTGTATTTCTTTGATAATATTTCTTTGATATGGTAGAGGAAGCATAGCAATAGTGGGTAAGAATCAGCCTTAGAATAAATAAAAATAACTAAGTTCAAATCCACTCTCTTATACATAATGTCTGTGTGAGCCTGGGCAATTCATTTAATCTCTTAAGCTCCAAGCAACCCTCTTAGACAGTAAGCTGCTCAACAGTTGCTGATTTGAACTGGTAAAGATAGCTTTCTCACTGAGAGTTCCCTTAACCAGTAAAATTAGCAGCTGGGTAGCACAGTAGATAGAGTTGGACAGTTGGGTCTGGAGTCAGAAAGACCTGAGTTCAACCTCAAATACCTAATAGCTGTTTGACCTTGGGCATGTAGCTTAAAAAACAAACAAACAAACAAACAAAAAAAAAAACAAACCTCTGTTTGCCTCAGTTTCCTAGTCTGTAAAATGGGGGTAATAATAGCACCTAATCTCTCAGGGTTGTTAGGAGAAAATGAGAATAATTGTAGAGCACTTAGTTCAGCGCTTGGCACATTGTATGTGCTATATAAACACCAGCTATTATTATTGTTATTAAAATCATTGATTTGGAAGGGGAAAAAGTCTTTTAAAAAATCTAGCTTACTTACACAGTTTCCTGTGAGGACATTTCTGAATTAAAAGTCTAGAAAGAAAAAAAATCACCTACATTTTTCATGCAATTTTAGATATGATTTCAACTCAAGCTGCTCTACATTTCAAAAGTATATTTTTTCTGTGCTCAGCTTGTATTTCTACAATAAAAAGTAACTTTATTCATCATTACGAGTTTCATTGAATACATTATTATGCTATCACTTATAAAACCAATTTTCTTGAACTTCAAAAGATATATTGAGAGATATTTAGAGCATACCTGCAAAAGTAGTCAAACCCGTTTAAAGAAAAAAAATCTACTCAAATTTATTTGATAAGAACTGTAATTCATAAGAACACAAACCTCAAATACCAGAGCCACTTGTAAGAGGCTTAATTGTTTCAACACATTTCTTTATCTTTCTATTCTGTATATGCTCAACAGTGTTTTTGTTTGTTTGTTTGCTTTTGTTTCATGCCATTCCAATTTGAGTAACACTAAGAAATACATTATGAAGAGACTGATAAAAAAAATACAAAATCTGATATTAGAAATTAATATTTCCAGACATAGGTACAGAAGAAAGTACTACAAAACTAAAGTTCAGCCCAAATCTGACACTTCCAGTGGGGAGAAAAAAAACAAATAAAACAACATAATATCCCCAATTTAAATGACTGGTAGAAAATCAGATGTATCATTCGCAGATCGTCTTCTTGAAGAAACATAGTATATTTTAGGGATTGGAAGTAGGTAAAACTCATTCTTAAAAGGAGACAACTACATGAAAAGAAAAAGAATATAAATACACAATTGTTTTTATAGTAGGTTCTTTATCCTGTGCTTTGTAAAAGACTGATATTTTTTATTCTTTGGAAAATGTTCAATAAAAATAAATTGCAGTTAGAGACTTACAGGGCTCTTGCTGCAGTATGACTAACAAATTTAATTTAGATGTTTATTTAAACCTTTCAAACCTCCTATCCTACATTATGACCATGTCAAAAATGCAGTATGCAATATATTTGTCAATACTGTTTATGGACCCTTGGGGAAGAATAAATCCCCTACATTAACACTATGCAGACCCCGTATATGAGCTTTACAAGTCTCTTATTACCAATTTGTAAGTTGACTTCAGAATTATAAGGCACAGAGCCATGTTAGGGTTTGGGGGTTTCCCTGTTGCAAATACTGGATTTTACTTAAAGGCCATGACAACAGCAAAAAGAGAAATGGAAATTATCCAGATCATTCAAGTGCAAAATCCTTTTTGCCTCAAATTATATATACGTATACATATATATTTCAAGTGACATAGTTTCCTTTATGTGTAGGCATATTAAAGCATACAGCAAAATAGCCACATTTCAATAAGAAGCCAGAATGGCTGAGTTTCATAATCTTGATTATTACAATTAGGAATAGAATTGAATGTGAATGATTTAAAGTTTCTGACACAGGACTTGTTGCCTCTCTACCCAACAAACTGTTTGTATTTCTAAGCACCAAGAATACAATTTCTAAGCACCAATTTCTAAGCACCAAGAATACAAATGAGAGTATATCCAAATCTTATGCTAAAATATCCAAATGAGTCTCCTGAGTTTTATATATATATATATATGTCAATTCCAATCAACAAACACTTAATTATTTTCAAATATACATATATTTTGTTTTTGTTATGTTTCCGTTTGCTGAAATATTTTAGAAGGAAGAAGGAAGGTGATAAAATAGGAAGAGAGTTGTGGGATGGACTTGACTAAAAACACTGTAGCTGCTCATTATAAAGTCAGCTCAACAAAGCACATTTTTAAGAAGAAATGTATACAAGAACACCAAAAGTATTGTCTCTAAATACAATTACATGAGGTACAATACAGCCAATGTGTACATGCCTCATTTCTGGAATGTGCTGCTATAATATACATGCATGATGACTGACTCAAAGTTAATAAAAGTGTAACTTCTTACTTTTATTGAATAGCTTTTTGTTATTATAAATTTCACTTGACCAGATTCTGACCTCTTGTAAATACATCTAATTTCTGTCTATAGAATTAATGGGTAAGGAGAGAGATAAAGAAAAATTTGTCTCTCTTCTACTTTTTGGAAATGGCATGCCATTCTTATATTTCTTGTGCCACAATCTGAATTAAATAAATGACAAGTGCTTTTTCACTCTCTGTGTATAAATTAATTCTAGCCAAATTACTTTATTTGCTTTTTGCCTAACTGTGTGTTATTCCATTTTCTACCTCTCTCCTCTTTCTCAGAATATTCCATCCCTGATGCCTGGAATGAATCTGTCTTCACCTCCAACTCTGAGAGGCCCTAGTCTCCAATGCTCAGCTGATATGCTAACTCCTTCAAAAAACCTTTCCTGACACCTCCTCAAATTATCATGTACATATACTTAACTTTTTACATAGTGTATCCTTGTAGTAGAATAAAGCAGGCAAGACCATGGAAGGCTATTATGGGGAAGGAAGAAGAAAACATACTAATGGATTCATATTTAAACATAGCAATGAGCAGAGCATGGGTAATAAACAAAATGAGAAACAGTTTAATATAAACAAGCCTTATAAGTAGTATGGAGACTCTGTGGGATGATTTGAGATATAGAAATGAAAGGATTGTTCTAGAGAATGAGAAAAGAGGAGTCAGGGTAGCATT